GCCCCTGGGACCGCCACTACGCCCTGGCCCAGGCCACGCTGGAGGAGGTGGGCTGCACGACGCGCCCCGTGCCCTCGCCGCTCCCAGGCAGTGCTGTTGCTTTCGCAGGACGCGGATGGGGTGAACAGTGGGAGGCCTGTTGCTGCCGGCTCTGCACCCCGGGTCCCGGCCTCCAGGCTTCCATTTGCTCATAGTTACCCCCCTGGGGTTCAATTTCAGAGGTTTTACCTGTTTAGGGAGACTCGGGGGAGGTGGGAGAGAGAGGGTTTAGGAGGGGGTGGGAGAGAGAGGGTCTAGGAGGGGTGGAGAGAGAGGGTCTAGGAGGGGTGGAGAGAGAGGGGTGAGGCTTTAGGAAGAGCTGGGTGTGCTGTGGGAGGGTTTCCTTGTATAACACTGAGGAGCGGGTGGCCCAAGTCTTGTAGGTGACAATCATGTTCACTCTTCCTTTCAGGTGTTTGTTGATTTTGCTGAGCAGCAGTCGGCTCCCCCAGCGCCTCCTGACCCGCCTGCCCAGGGCTGCCAGCCCCAGCCCCTGCCTGTCTGAGCCCGGACGCTGCTTCAGAGGAAGGAGTCTGCCCGCTACCCCCGCCCCCCGTCAGTCCTCAGCCAGCGCAGGAGCCTGGGCACGCCAGGCCGGGGGTCCTCTGTCGCCTGCCTTTCCCACGCTCACCTCTGTTCATTAATAACCAAGCCTTTGCGCGGCTCCTCCAGCCCAGTCGCCCCCTGTGTGAGCTGGGGGGGCGGGGGGCCCTTCTTGGTGACGCAGGTGTGCGTGATTCTGGGTCCAGACTCAGGCTGGGCGCTGGCGAGGCCCGGGCCTCACACTTCACCCTCCTGTGCGGCCCGAGGCCACGCCCCTTCCACCTCCTTACGGAAATGGTCCCAGGATTATGTTTCAATTTGTCATCCTTTTACTGGATAAGCTCTCAAGTGTCTAAATAAGATTCCAGTGGGTTAAATGCAAATTTCCCTTGCACTGGATGATGGTATATGGTTTGACATGAAAAAAATCACCTTTCTTTTCATCTCAAAGATGCTATAAAAAAGGATGATTGCTTTCGCAAAATTAAGTAATTTGAACTTGGTAATCTGTATGGTTTATAAAAGTTTCGTCAGAATGTCATAGATGATATTAGGGGAGTATACGAAGCGATGGGATGGAAATGCCTTTTCTCTTTCTCAGTTTGGATCAGTAGTCACCATTTAAACACTTTTAAATCAGTAGTTTTCAGCGGCATCAGCAGCGCCTGGGCGCTTGTTCGAAGGCAGGTGGCCGGGCCCAGCAGCCATGGGTCTGAGACGTGGGGGAGCCCTGTGACCTGAATTCTAAATAAGCCCCCCAGCGATTCTGACACGCATTCCCGCTACCCACCCAGCCAGCATGGCGTAGGGCAGAGCTACCATCGCAGACCTTTAAGCACCCCCCCTTCCTAAAGGCCTCAGGGCACTGTCCACATCCGTCCTCAGGTCTGACGTGCTGACCGAGGCTCTGAGAGGCTGCGCCTGGCGTCGCCTAAATCTCTCGGTCACGTGTCCACTGCTGAGGCCGCTCCGGTCGGACGGTCTGCACTGACACCTCCCCGTCTGCGCTGAGTGGCCGTCTCTCCGGCCTCAATGCAGGGCGCCCGCTTTGACTCCAATGGAGGGGTCGCCAGTGGCCACGGGCGCTTCTGGGAGCGTCTTCGGGCCGGACTCTGCCTCCCGAGCCCCCAGGGCTGGGCTGTGACCGCAGGGACAGGGCCACGGCGTGTGGTGGACGCTGCAGTTCACACGCGTGACCTCCCTGGTCACACGCGGCTCGTTGTCAAACAGTAGATGTAACCCTTTGTTATTGTTGCTGTTGAATCAATAAATGAAGTTGCGAAACACGCCTGCTTAGAAACGCTGAGCGGCGACCCTGATGCCCGCGGGCTGCACCTCGGGGCGGGTCACTCGGGAGGTGGGCCCCGCGCGCCCCGGGCACTCGCAGCCGAGAAGGCTCACGGGTCCCTGGTTTCACTCACTGTGTCTGCTCCAGGCTCCTTTCCTGGTCTCTGGCGGGTGGGCCTGGCCGCGCTGGAGGCGCCTTTGAAGAGCAAACGGGCAGAAGGAGCCGCACCGCAACCGCTGCGGGTCAGGTCCCATGTTCCCCGTGTTGGTCGCGTCGACCTGTTAGGCAGGTGTTTCCGGCTTAGGACGTGGACGTGTGTCTTCAGGCCTTTGGGTTAAGGTCACTTACTGGGGCACACAGACCGCTCTGGGAGCGCCTTGCCTGCTGCGTGGGGGGCGGCCACCCCGGGGAGGGGGGCGGGGAGCCTGCAGACAGGGCTGACCTGACAGGCGTGTCCGGCATTTAGAGACAGTCCCAGCCGTCGTGCAAACTCCAGACTGAAAGGCAGATAAAAAGCGCAGCTCGTGGTGTGCTGGCGGCTCCCATGAGGCCGAGCGAACAGCGCTGCCGTGTCCTCACTGCGAGGGGCCGTGTCCGCACCCGAGGCTGCCGGGGAGAACGTTACGAGCGGCTTTTCCTGCTGGAAAGGCTCAAGTTGCTGACGGAGTCAGAGCCTCTGGTCGGGGCACAGGCGGCCTCCCACGACCTCGGGGAGCCCACCCGTCTCCTGACATTAAAGTGTTTAAGGAAAACGGTCCTCCAAGTTCAACCACATCTCAGCCTGCGAGGCCCACGGTGCGGACCAGCCGGGGCCTCAGGCGCGTCTGCTCCCAGGCAGGAGGCGGCATTGTGAGTGCCCGGTGCCACTCTCGGCGTTTGTGTGATTTTACCCGCCCCAGGCCGGGGCTGTGTGCTAGCTTTCTGGTTTTGTGCAGGAGAAGCTGGGACCTGCTTCAGATGCACCTCTGTGGGTCCACGACGTGTGGTGAGGCGGGTTCTCACCTACCCCCACCCGTGTCAGATCGCCTTCTGCCCAGACGGCGTCACAGGAGCGCGTGGCGTGCAGGTGTGCGCACGGAGCTGCCCGGGGCCGCCCAGTAAGAGCTACAGCGCTGCCTGGGATCCTGCCTGCCTGTGGGGCTGGAGCCGACGGCACCGCTGAGGCAGCTGCCGCTGTTGGGGGCGTGGGCCGTGAGAGATCGGAGGGAAGCTGGGGCGTGAGTGCAGGCTGCCCCTCGCGTGGATTGGCCGGGAAGGAGGTCCGAGAGCGTGTGAACGGGTTGGGCCGGGGCCTCAAGAATCACCGCTTTGGGGGTGGGCGGGGAGCCGCGTGAGTGGGTTAATGGAGACTCAGATCTGGTCTGTGTGCACCTGGGCTCGCACGCTGTGTGTGTGCATGTGGGGGTGCGGGGGGGACGCCCCGGAGAGCTGCCCCTCAGCCCGCCCTGAAGCAGGAGATTCGGCTCCTCCCCAAGTCCCTTCCCTGGGGCCCGCGGGGAGTGTGGCCCAGTAAATGAGTCTTGCTCAGGCCCTTGCACAGGGCGCCGGGGTCCACAGAGCCGTGCAGATGTCCTGGCCCAGCCCTGCAGACCACGCGTGGCTGTGGGCCCGCCACCTCAGGGCCCCCACCCCCTCCCGCGTGCGTCAGCCTCACTCCCAGGGGAGCTGCTCTCCTAGTTCCTGGGGTGGGGAGCTTGTCCCCTCGTCCTGCTGCGGGGAGTCTGGGCGGCTTCGGGCGGAGGGAGGCAGTGGGCCTGGGATCAGAGGAAATGGGGGGCTCCTGGGGTGACTGTGCTTCTCACCCTCAGCTCCACGTCTCTGACGGCATCAGGCGTCTCTGGCGCAGAGGGTCTCACGCCTGAGAACCATTGTTTCCGGTGGTATTTCTCATTCTTTTTATTATATTTTATTAAAATATATTTTTGTTGATTTCAGAGAAGAAAGGAGAGAGAGAGAGAGAGAGAGAGAGAGAGAGAGAGAGAGAAACGTCAATGATGAGAGAGAATCATGGATCTGCGGCTTCCTGCACGCCCCCCACTGGGGATCGAGCCTGCAACCCAGGCCTGTGCCCTGACCGGGAATCGAACCGTGACCTCCTGGTTCCTACGTCGACGCTCAGCCACTAAGCCACATCGGCCATCCAGGCATTTCTTATTCTTTTTAGCTGTTTCAGACAGGAAGGCAAATCTGGTTCCTGGTTCCTCCGTCGTGTCAGAAGTCAGCCTCCCTGTGAACACCGTTTTCATCACGGACAGTGAAGCCGACGGGAAGAACCAGGCTGCAGACTGCTCCGGAATGACGGGCTCGCTGTGTGGCCCCTTTAGCAAGAGAACGAGCCAGACCATTGGCAGGGTACGTGACATGGAATTCCATCCGACTTAAGGTGCAGAATTTACTTCAAAATGGCCAGCACGGGGTTCGGCCAGATTTAAGATTAATATTGGGGGAGATGGTCATGTCCTTCTATTAAATTCCTCTTGCTTTTCTGAGATAGTAACGGTTCTGAAACGACTAGCCTTACAGTCTCAGAGGTTCCCCTGCAAATTATTTTGAACACTGAGCTATTTTTCTCTGTCTGTGGGAAACAAGCTTAAGGTTGGAGCTAGGTTATAAGGCACAATGTGGACACACCTACTCTATACAGTTTTAATTAATTGGAATAAATAAAATTCTAGGTTTTTCCAAACTCTTTTTCCGAGATCTAAGGAGCTAAGCTGTGTGTTTTGTGACTATTCTCAGAGGAACGCTCCTCACGCAGCTCCCCACCACATCCTCATCTTCATTCTGCTTTTAAATAATGAAGCAATGCAAATTGTGTTTCATGCATATGGACTAGAACATTCAATTAGTTTCAATTATGTACCCGGCTGCTTTTAAGAAACTCCCAATGTATACTGTGCTAACACCAGCTCCTTCCTTTTCTGAGCCTTACCCAGTGTTAAGAAATCGGCTAGCAATCCTGCAGCAGCTCATGGACTGAGGAAGAAAGAGATCACGAGGCTTCAAAATAAAGAGACAGCCTGTCAGAAAGGTAGGTGGAAATTGCTAGAAGAGCACAGAGAAAGGACATCCTAGCAGACTAGAGACCAGGAAACACATCCAGAGATTCGTCCGTCCGTCCGTCCATCCATCCACCCACCCACTCACCCACCTATCTACTCATCCATCCACCCACCCACCCACCTATCTACTCATCCATCTATCCACCCACCTACCCACCCACCCATCTATCCATCTATCCATCCATCCATCCATCTGTCCATCCATTTATCCATCCACCCACCCACTCATCTACTACTCATCCATCCACCCACCCACCCACCTATCTATTCATCATCCACCTTTCAACCCATCCATCCATCCACCTATCCATCCATCCATGCACTCATTCATGCATTCATTTACTCTTTCTTAGTAATTAAACATTGGTACTGTGCTAACATGTACCAGGTAAAGAGCTGAGGACTGCAGAGAGGGGCTTGGGAAGGGAAATAGACATGCAATCAGCCTGCACGGAGTGCACCCAGGGAGCTGAAACTGACACACTGACCTGCTCCTCTGATGCTTGCTGGGAAGGCACTTGCATGGCCCTTACCTAGTCAGGTCTTCCCACAGTACTGCCAGGACGTGCCTGTCATTTCACAGGTGACGTGGCCGGAAAAAGGTTCACTGAG